AAGCTGATTCAGAGCTCTAAATCTTTCATGTTATGATGGAAGTCCATTTCTTGAGGTTGGTAGGTCAAAATGGCGAACAAAGTTCGGGCTTCACTGCTGCCAGAATTTCAAAATTGGCACCTTGATATTCAAAAACTCTACAAAACACTCTTCTTGCTCCTTTATTGCAATTGAACCTGAAAATGCACAAAAACATACAAATGAAAGTAATCTACATAATTAAATGAACAATGGACTTAACTAATGCAATTAAGGGCGCTTGAATATGCAATATTCGGCGCTTATCACTGTAATAGTAAGCTTCTCTTTTTTCCTCTTGGTTGGGGAAGTATGTGGGAAGTCACTTGAGCCTTCTTTGAACTGAGCTAGAAGCCTCTTATTAAGTTTTCGGGATATAGTTACAGAGGACTTGCCAACAGGCTGAGGACTAATCCCATGGGTAAACAAAGTATGAGGTGTCACGAGTGAAGACCAGTCCCTCACTGAGTGGTTAAAGGCTTCCTTTATTCGCTGGAGATCATCAGATGAAATGGCAATCTCTTTAAAGCCTGAGAGGACGACAACTCTGTTAATAACTCAAATAAAAAAATTTTGAGTTTTAAAACAAAAGAAGGTATCATTATGGGCAACTCACCAGTGGAATTCTGACTGCACCACACACGAGGAATGGAATTCCCTATTCACAGGAAAGCACTTTCATCAGGAAAGAAATCCTAGCCATCACTAGAAATGAAAAAGAAACGGCTTTTCCATGGTTTGTGCTTAAGGGGATTTCCAGAGATAAGAATTCTATCCCGTGGGGAGAAGTATAACCAGTCACCCCTTTTGGGAATGTAACAAAGAAGAAACTCCTGGATAGTGAGCGAGGTATTACAACAAGCTCACCACAAAACTAAACAACCCATCATTGTTCTCCAGGCATTCGGGGAGAGTTAAGTCGGAGCAAGATTAAGGTGACGCAGTAGATCCCTAATAAAAAGAGGGATTAGAAAACGCAATCCGGCAATGAAAGCAGACTCATAGAAACAAATCTCAATTGGGTAAAACGAGGACGCTCTATCCTCAAGTGAAGGAAGTCTTAGAGCAACACTGTCTGGAATTAAATAAGTTTGCCTGATCCGATCTAGATCATGTGGGGTAAGGGAGCCAGTTATATCCTGTACCAGATGTGTCTCTGACGGAGCCGAATCAGACTGGTAGTGTTCCTCGTTTGACATAGTGTTGGATTTTGGGTGAAACATACTTGCAGTAACACATGCTGCTGTATGCAAAAGCCTAGCTTCACAGTGACCTATAAAATTTTCTAACTTTGGTCTTGGTATATTGAGTTGGAGGGAGAAGCAACAATGAATTAAATAGAAGAAGGAAAAAAACAAGGGCATTGAACTTACCACATCACTACGACTGGTACTACTTGGTTTTTGGAAGATGGAAGTAATTTGAATGAATTCTACTCAAACTATCTCGATTTATAGAAGAAGAACGTAAACAGATAAGGAAGATATTTATGTTGGAATTCTAATAGAAATCTTCTTCGTGAGGGACAATTAGCTTCTAGCAGGCTATTTTGTATAGGAATTTACTTTTACAATGTAGAATAGGATTAGGAGTCACTCCTCGAATAGGACAACCACACTGGCAGCCCCACATGAGTTACCTATGTGCCGAGAGGTAGGCTGCCAGCATGACAACTTACCACATATACGAGCTGCCAATGTGGCACTATGACAAATATCTTAAAGACATCTACGGTCCTTTAAAAAAAAAAAATTTCCCCCGACTGTATTCGCGAAGTGGCAGTATGAGGCAAGCTAATGGACAAGGCTCTACTACAATTCTAACTCTCTATTATTATGTAATATTTGGGAATTAACGTTCCAGTGGTTTGACAAGCAATCCTCCGAAACGGGGGGCAACTGATGGATGTATAAATTAAATACCCGTGGATAAGGGAAGGTTATTAAATTAACGTATTATCTTATAAGATTGAGATAAGCTCTACAGATTACGATAAGGATTACAGATTTCGATAAGGATTAAACCTACAGATTACGATAAGGATTACATATTACGATAAGGATTAAACCTATAGATTACGATAAGGATTAAGCCTACAGATTATGATAAGGATGAAGACAACGGTAACTCTATGTGATATCCTGACCTAAGCCCTATAAATAAAGGGGGCTAATCGACGTTTGGAGGTATGCAATAAATCCTAACTCAATTTCTTAATTTCTCTAGAGAGATTACTTCGCACACTGACTTGTTCGTCGGAGCCTACTCCACCGGTAACACACCGGTGTTTGTAGGATCACCTTTTCTTCTCTTTGTTTAGGAAGTTAGATTAGATCTGGGTTGCACAGAATCCATCATTAACAATATATGCACACCATAGGGCACCTTAAACAAAAACCATTACATATTAAATACCACTAAATTTAAGAACAAAATAAAACCCATTACCAAATGCCAAATAAGAATTCCAAAATCCATCAAAACCAAATAATAATAATAATGTTTAGGATGCCCCCATAACCTTAATTTTTTAAACCATCTTAATTAATTTACTTAAAACAAATATTACTAACCTTCACATGTTCTTCTTTCTTAACAGTGTCTTTACCTCAGGCTTAGGACTCTTCATCACCCCAGGAGTCCCACAACATCTTCTTTCTTCACATTCTCTGGCTTCACATCTTCTTCTTTCTTCGATGACTTCACAGCGCAAGGACTTTTGAAGGCACAACGGAAGCAATTAAAAAAAATTCAGGAGCATAATCACGTGATTTTTCATCAAATCAAGAAGTACTGTAAAGGGATCTCATACCTTTGGACGATTGAATAATTGTCATATACGAAAACATTATTCTTTAGTTTTGAATTCCGGTGAACATTTTCTTCTTTGGCCTTGAAAACTAATGAGTCTTTATGACCCCAATGGTAGGTTTGTGGAACCCTAACCTTTTCTCTCACTCTTTGTGTTCTGGATAATGTACCATCAGATATTTTGTATCGCTATATCGCAGAATATATGACATGAAAAAATCGGTTAAAACGTCTGGGGCTAGAGATGATGATCCAAGAGGACTTCCTTATCCTAGCTCCAATTGGATAGCGATAGAGTTATCTCATAACTATATCCTATCCAATTAATTACAATAAACACCACAATAGTATTGTAATTGCACTCTAGGATTTAGAAATCACGATAGGGCCCTGTGTACTAAATAATTACATATAAGCCCCTCCACTACCGAATATCCATAAGTAGCCCCAGGAAAATATCTTCTGTTCCACTTAAGGTTTACTTATATTTTATATTCCTTGAGTAACCAACTTAATCCTTAAGATCACTGAATTAAATTCTTTTATAAAAGGATTTTTCAAAATAAATATTTTTCTAAATAAATAATAGAAAAATAATTTAGTAAACATTTTACTAAAATGCCCTGGCCAGGTTCCAGTGATCAAACTTATTAAATTGCATCAAGGAGATATTCTAACTCATATAAAGAGTTTGGATTCCATGTTAAGCATTTGTATTCCCAGAGCTCCAACATTAGCCACCCAAGATACCGTGGTATTGACCTTAAAAAGATCTCACACATTGGTAAGTCAAAGTGACTAGTACTGAAACTTGAGTTCACTAAATCCCTCAGGATTTAGAGCCTATGAATTTAGTAGATAAGAAACACACCAAAATAATGACAGTACATTGTATGGTGTGATCTTATGGTGATCCAGTTCAATATACTCCAAGCACACTAACACACTATCTTAGAGTCAACGACCCCAATGCTTGAGACAAACCATCATATCTTATAGAGGTCAAGTGTGTTACAGTCTTATAGATAAAAGTGCCTAACTTTTATCACTGACTGCGAACAATGCCAAGGTGCAAGAAACCGGTGAGCCCAAATCTCCTGCGTGTAAATCTCATTTACACACTTAAGTCACCTACAATGCAACTTGAGGACTATTATGCACCTCATACAAATATATGTAAAGCCCAATGCATGAATATCAAATTTATTAATAAAATATCGAATAAATAATAAATAATTGGATTATAGAGCATACGATCCCAACACTTGAGACATAGTTTCCTGAGCAGCAGCTTCTCCTCTCCATATCTTTTTTATACCTTTTTTTCTTTAAACTTGCAAAGGAATTAATTAATTCAGTTTAGTGAAAATAATGGAAGAGTATTGGGGTATTTATAGAAGAGTATGAGGCTGCTCAGACTCTTTATTCATTTATTTTCTTGTACATGATGAACCTAGTATGCAATGCACCGTTTACATGAGAGCAATGCACTTAATTTGAAGTGCAGAAATCCCTTTAAGGGTACTGTAGGGAGTGGTTGCTTCGTGATCTGCCTTAAAAGCTTAGACTGCTAGGTTAGATGGTGCTAACATCTAACACATATATACCAATTCAATTACCTATTCGGATGGGAGGTCTCACTTGTAATATTTTCCCCCACCTAAACTTGTAACGCCTTCATTGTGATCGGACCATCCTGTCTATCTAGGATTCTCACTCGGATGCCTCCGGACCGGGAGCTTGGCGTGACACCGAATCAAGGACTAGTCTAACTTCAATACCAACTGTAACGGTTAGGTACTTCGCGATCCAACTAGAAAACTTAAACTGTTAAGTGTAACTAACACTTAACCCATATATACTCGTTCAATTACGCATTTGAATTCGATGTAAGACACGTCCCACTTGTAACAGATATATTGTATTTATGCGATTTAGTTTAGACTATACCTATCATCTCTAACACCCTAGTTCATCAGTTTGAGGAAATTAAGGAGGGGAAAGTTTACAAATTAAGTTATTTTTTATTTTTTTGATGGTAAAAGTTCAGATTTACATTTAGATTTGGATTAGAATTAGATATATGTAAGTAAGAAAAAGAAACTCGGACTAGCAAGTGAGGAGCGTCACGTGCATAGTGTGTGCGTCTTTCTCTTGTTACCGTTGCACCATAGCATTATTAGCATAGCTAGTGAATAGACAAGGGCGCTACCATCTCTCTCGCTCTTACACACACACACTCGCACTTGCTATTTCGATTCGATTCGATTCCCCTCTCTCTCTCCGATCGAAAGAAATTACTGTCCTAACGATGTTCGCTGCTGAGCTTTATCTCGAAGATCATCTTCACTTTCCACCATCGTCTCTGAGAGATGTCAACTACAGGTTCAAACCCCCCTCTCTCTCTATTTCATTTTTTTACTTTTGCCTTTACACTATATGCTTGCTGAATGAAATTCAAACTAATTTGGAAATGCTTTTTGAAAAGATGGATTTTGGAAGGAACCCTAAAAAGACTACTTATTCGCTGCCATATAAGTAAATTGAGTAATCTGGTTGAATCATTTTTGCAATTTTATAATTTGTTCTCATAGAGACATGGGTATGGACATGATTGATACATAGTTATTCAAAGAAGCAAACTATATTGTCTTACAAGAGTCAGGCTTTCTTAATTCATGAAGAGCACAACCATTGAAGACTGTATAGAGTCGCAAAGAACACACGGGAAATCTGCATCCTCAATGACATATTTAGGGACACATATAAATGAACTTAGAAAGTCCTTAGACAATCTAGTTTTAATATTCTTTTTTGATAAATGGTTTTTCAAAATACTGATTTTTGAACAGATTTTAAAACTATGTTTTTATTGCGAAATACCAAAATAGTATGTGCTTGCTGCTTTCTACTAGACTTCTATTGATAGGAGAATTGATTGAATTCTTGTAGAAATTTTTTTTGTACTACAGTATGCTAAAATCGATTAGTTGATCAATCCAGGAACTTGGCACTAGGTATTGATTAATTGAACCCTGAGGAGAGGTTTAATTTTGAAAAATCTCTCAAAAATACATTTCTACATGGATTCAATTGACCACAAAACATACAGGCTACCTATATCGGATACAAATATGGTTTTATAAACATTCTAGGGTATGATTTTAAGCCTAGACATCAAATATGGTCGAGAGATAAAATCCTGATTTTAAGGCTCTAATTGTCTAGAGAGAAAATCATTGTGAGAGAGAAATTTCCGATTAACTCAATTTTGGGTTTCCTTAGACATCATATGTGGTTGTGGTGTAATTCATGAGCATATCGAGACAATTCATTGATCAGAATTTTCATCAAAATGATAAACATTGGAAAAGCAGATTCGTGAATAGCGAAGTATGTTGACAAAGCAGTTAGTATGTGACAAAAGGTAACTAGGGGGGTTCCAGGGTGAGTGAACTGTTGTCCTAGTTGTAAATTCTTTCTCGTATATTGGATTGTTCTTAGCTGGATGAAGTCTCGTGGTTTTTCCCTATATAGGTTTTTTCACTTAAAATTTGCTGTCTCTGCTCTTACTTTACTTTGTATGAATGCATGGTTATGTGAGTGATGATGGAATTCAAAAAATAAGGGATACAAACAAAATTTTAAACCATAATTACCTAAAAATAACTGAAATTAAAAATTAATATCCATAAGACCTATTCACTATCACTCTAGGTCTAATTCACTGCTCACACTCAGACGTAGCTTTGGGTAACTGCCTAACAATCTAACAAGACCTAATGGAGATATTAAAAAACTATTTTATGGATGGCTATTGCATTATGTGTTTCTTAACGAAAGGTTCATTAGCTAAATAAGGTAGAGGAGCAAATCTTATATGCTGGAGGTGGGATTATTCTAGATTGATTGTAAATGAGAAACACTAAATTTACATTATATTAAGGAAAAATTACGAAACTTTTTGTTTTGTTTTGTTTTTTTTTTTTTTTTTTCTTTTCGAGAAGTACAAGAACAGATATGCCAAATAAAAAAACCATAACTACTAATGAAGTATTCATGGAAAATATTGATATAATTTTTTTTTGATAAGTAAAAATATTGATATAAATTTTATAGCTAAAAACATTACAATGGAAGTGATAGGCTGTGCTAGATATCTCGATCAATATATTGAATTGCATTATGTCATGTGACAGTATATTATCCAATATTCCATCATGCGACAGTGTATCATCCAATATTCCAATAATTTAATGAATCATACTACATCATGGGGCAGTGAAATCATTTTGATGGATGTTGAAAGCTGAAAAGATGACTACAGAAGTATGTAATAGCACAAACTTAATAAAACAAAATTATTAGAGAATGCATTTTGATTTGGAGAAGCATCAATTGTGAAGCAGATACATAATTATGCATAATGGTGTAATGAAGAGTGAGTAAAGAAGTATGGAGTATAAATTAATTTTCTTTTTTAGTTGTCTCTGAATGTGTGTTATGATGAGGATAATTCCTTTTTTTTTGGTTCCATGGAGTTCTTATTTAGTTTCTAGTTGTGCCATTCTTACCATTTCTTTGCAATTACTTTTATATTTCTGATTCGTGCAACAGTCTACATTTAATTTTTAAAACATCACGAGGTTGCCATAGTTGATTAGCATTAATATTTCTAAGACATAACAATTTATATTATACTTGAAGATACTCATATTAAAGTTTGCATAGGATGTCACAATGCTATTAATATTGAATTTATCATTTGATATATCTTCTCATTTATTGTACAATTTCTACATATGGAAGAGAAGTAGAGAGCAGGATCAGTAAAGTGTTTGCACTTAAGTAGTTAAGATACTTGCCAAAAATTTAGTGTCGAGAGAAAAAGTGTTCTTTTTTATGTTTTTCGCAAATAACACCATAATATATGAAAAAAATAAATAAAAATTGCAATTCACCCCCTTGTATTGGCAGCTTGTGGTTAAAAACAACAGTAATATATACTCCCTCCAATTTTTATGTCAATCATTTTAAACAAACATTAACGAGTCTATCCAACTTATTTTCATTCATTTAAGATTCTTCTTACTTGGTAACTAGTTATGAATCTATCCAACTCATTGATTTAAAGAAATGTAAATTCTCAAATTTTACTTTGTTTTGAGACAATCGTCAAAAAAAATGAAGCTAAAATTACATGTATCTTTAAAACAATTACTTATCTGTCTTGTAAACCTTACCTGTGCTCCTATTGGTTGATGAGAATTTTAAATACTTCCCGATATCCTTAAAAATGTTGCAAAAAGTGATAATAGAATAGTATGATACAATGTCCTGGAATTTGATGGTCTTTTCGGATGGGTGTAGTTTAAGATTTGTGCTAGTTAGTTTTGTGTGTTCATGTGCATGTCGTACATTAGTGTCCACAATTTTTTAGGGTGGTGTTTGGCTAGAGGAGGGGAGTGGTGGCTATTATATGTCAGTGTGTGCAAACATGTAGAGAGAGAATATATGATGGAAAAGGTGCCTTGTGTGATAGTTGTGAATATGATGTATTCACGGTATGATGCGTAACTGGAAAATTGCACAAGAGCGGCAGGGACTCTTTGTAGTTGAAGGAATATGGTAATGTGGTAGTAAAGTTAAACTTACCTAAATGAAATTAAGGGTTTTGGTAAAGGTGATAATGGAGCTTGTGGTGTTGGAGGCCTCATTTAAAATTTCTGCCTTAGGCCTTCACTTGTATAGAGCCAGCCCCGATTTCATGACCATTTTTATCTCTTCAAAACTGTGCTCTGAGTTTCTGCAACATATCCGTGCAAAAGCGTCCACTTTTAATGAATTGATCAATCAAAAAGTTGCCTACCATTCAATAAACATTAGCTTGACCAATAATGAAAACCAGAGAGAAAAATTAGAGGAGTTAAAATCCAAATTCAAGATATTAATGAGCATGGATTCCATTGCAATTAATTATAGAGATGCATTGAGGGTAAAATAATTGGAGGAGGGAGGAGAGGGTAGTGGTTCTCAGTTACCAACCAAACATACATATATATATATATATATATATCTACCTATATAACTTGTGTATCTTAGAAAATTTGATAATGGAGAAACAAAGGGTATCAAGATTTTGAAAGGAGAAAGAGAAACGGAAGAGGAACAGAAGGTGGCGGCCATAAAATTTAATGTAGAAGAAAAATAATTGAACATTGAGAGAAAATTCATCTACCAAATATGTAGCGTGCTGGTCTGTGATTGAGTCATTCAATAATTCTGCTTTTCTGGAGCAGGTTCTTATATAAATGAAATACAAATATATTGAAGAGAGAGAGAGAGAGAGAGAGAGAGGGAGAGAAGAGAGTTGCATTTGAGAAACTCATGCCTATTCATCTCGGGAAGTCTTAACTTTCATGAAAAAAATAAAAAATAAAAAATTAAAAGAGAGTCACCCTATGTAGAGGCCAGAAATGTTTGCTTTTTGGGGGTGGTGAAATGAAAATTTAAAAAATAAAAACCAAACTTTTTAGTAGAACTCCTATTGAAAATTATTTCCTTTAAACTCGTCAATGCTTATTTCTCATGCTTTATAAGATATTAAAATTTTTTCAACTCAAATAATCAGTCATTTTCAATCTTAAAGTAGCAGTATTTTGTTTAAACTTAAATAAATGGTTAAGAAATGGATGATTGTAAGATCGTTTTGCTGATCTGGCCTTATAGAATATGAATCATTTAATTAAATTTTAAATTACTGAATACATTCAAATATTATTATACAAATAACTATATTGAAGAAATGGGTTATTTATCATCTATGGAATTTCGGAAATGCACACCTTACATTTACCTTCTTAGTAATGCACTTAGCCATGCTTGGTGGAAGTTGTGCATATGCAACATTGGTATTTTTAGTGGTATAAAAAATATACTAGAATGTAACTTGGATTATTGAGTAGGACCTCTGTACAATAAGCATGCAATGCTATGTCATTGAGTTAGCCATATTTCTTCTAGAATTTGGTGAAATTTAGTTCCTAGGGCTTCTACTGATAGTAGTACAACTTGATATTTTGTTTGATTAAAAGAAATCAACAATGAAGGGATGTTGGTGGAGATATACAAGGACTATAATAACAACTTACTTATGTTGCAGTTGTGGGTCCTGCGGGTATGAATTAAACCTGAATTCCTGTAATCGTGACACCTCATTCATTGGATCTAAATATGGGAAATCTTTGAAGAAGGGGATCATTTCGTTCTTTTCCATTGATGAGAGCAGATTTACACAGATTTCTGAACTTCAGTGCATGCCTTACTTCATCTCCAAGCGCTCGTGGGGTGTGTTTCGACGAAGAACCAAGCTGCTTTGTCGCAAGTGTGGGAACTACATTGGTATTGCATACAAAGAGAATGATACTTCCTACCCTTACAGATTGGATAAATCAGCCACATGGGATGGGATCTCCGACCGTAGAATTTATGATATCAAAATACATTCCTTACAGCCCTTATCCTTGGAGGAATCTGTTAACCCCATTTAATCCTCATGGGCCAGTTACATTCACCTTCTATGTACAAGAATGAAATATAATTAGCATGCCAAAGCTTGTGGGTTGTTCATCATTCTCGAGTTGTAAGCTTTCGGTTGGAATTCAGTTTATGGTTTTCTGTGTATTTTTTGAGTATTTGATCAATAAAGAACAGTTTGATGATCCACACACGGAGAGAAGCTTGCACGATCAATGTGGGAGAAAGAAGGACGGATTGAGATTTAATTGGAAGTATTTCAAATGCCTGAGATGCAATAATTTGTCGCCTGAAGATCATGTTTATAGTACAATTTTATGTTGTCTGTTTCTACTCTAAATTATATGTAAATGGAACATTAAGTAGTACTAAGTTTATCCTTGAAAAGGTGGAAAAGGTCTCTGGTTTAAACTCCCACAGGCTTTACTAGCTGAGTTGTTTGTAATTTAAAACGTAGAATCATTGTTTTGACAATTTGATGATGGACTATTTGCACATTTTAGCATGATCCTCATGTCAGTTGAAGTGATCATATATATATATATATATATATTTTCCCTGGCAATAACAAGAAGCCTAACGGCACTTACACATAGCATAACAACCAACCCACTAAAACAAACCAAAAAGCAAGCTAAGTCATATTGAATATAAGCATGAGAATAGCATGTTCCAGAAGTCTACAAAATTTTCCTTGCGTGTCGGCAACACCACAAACGACTGACCATAAGCTTGACTTTGTCGCCCTCTTCTGACACAAGACGACAGTGCAAAACACGAGGACGTCGAGAGGTCGCCGGAGTCGGAATCAAAAAATGCGGCCAGTTTTCTGGCAAACCTCCATCATCGATATCATCATCATCATCACCATCAAACCATTTGCGATACCGGCTAACTACCAAAAAACCTTGCAGCCAAGGCAAACCCGCCTCCATCCTTGGCTGATACACGTCAGTGAGATATGTGAAGCAAGATAACACCGACGAGCCACCAACAACGAGAACTATGTCTACACCAGAAACCCATCTTGGACCAGCGTGACAAATCTTCAAACAATGTGAAGGCCGCACCGAAACCCAACACAGAGTCCAGTCAAGACAACACCGAGATCAGACAGAAACCAAAACAACACAGATATAAAGTTAGAACTAAAAAGAAAACGAGGGAGACCAACACAATACCTGGATCAAAGGGGAAGATCGCCGTATATTGGCCAATTTGTTGGCCACCGGTCAACGCACTCGATCCAACAACCCACCGGAGACATGAGTTACTCCTAGCCAACCACCCACTGAAACGACAGACTTGAGATTTCAAGGAAACCATCCGAGCGTAACCCCATAGCTTGGAAAACTCCACCCTGATGAACAGAGAGATCGCTACAGTAAAAGGAGCAGAAACCTCTGGAAACTTAGAACATGGCTATTTGCAGTTAACTACAGTCGGACAGTTCACACTACAGAGCACACTTGGCAGTTTGCATACTAGCCTATTAGGAAAAGAAGCAGTAGCTTGCAAATCAGGTAGAATAGGAGATGATGAAATATTATGCACCTCATTTAGCTTAACCAAAGAAGTAGTACTCTGCACATGTTTGAATCATTTTTCATTGTAGGATTAGCTTTCAGACTATATATATTCAGGGAGAGCTTGTCTCTCATTTGCATTATTACTTGCTATGCCTACTCTAAACTCAACAGGGTGAGAAATCTCCAATTTATGTGATTACAAATATGCATATTGAAAGAGGGAGCTTCGTTTATTGAATTTCTTTTATCCCTATCTTATGAAGTACATTAATAGATTCTGACTTTCCTTTTTGAATATTCCACGCTACCTGCGTACTTTGACTCCATTCTTCTTTCCTAGTTTTCACACAATACAAGTATATAATTTTCAATTTTAATCTTTTTCAAAAACATAAATAACTACCTACAAATATATAACTATTAATAAACTTTCTTTGCGTAGTCAACCCCACTTGTTTGTTTTTCCCATTCTGAAATTAATCTTTTATCTCCTTTTTTTATGAAAATTACCATTAAGCTGAATCGACATAAAAATCTATTAATTAATTAGAATAAAAAATATGTATAAAATATGAACCGATCAAATACACCTAAACTTATATTTTTTGCTTGTGTTTGGGCAAAAGAAACAGAATTAAAATCCTAACTAAACCACTTTCATTGGTACTCTCTTACATTTAGTGATATGCAACAAACCTTTAAATCACTAATGCTATATTTGGTTGGAGGGAAGGATTAAGGAGAGATGGGTGAAGATTTTCATGTTTGATTGAAGGGAAGGGAAGAGAGGGAAGAAGCTGATAGGAAAAAATAAACTTAACCTACTTTGACCAGCCGCCAGACTTCTTCAGTGATCAATGATAATATTTTATTATTAGAGATAACGATTTCCATGTATAAAAATGATGACAAATCTTATCAAGGATAAGATCTCCATGGGATAAGTTCCATGGGATAAGGATGATGAAGTTCCCTTATCAAGAATAAGGGAAGTAACGATAAATAAGACGACGACTCGGGAATAAAGGACGACGAAAAAATTATTATTAAATCCCTACCTTCCTTTTTAGACCTCTGGTGACTAACTTGATCGTCGGAGAGCTCTTGGCAGGCACCACAACGGTGCTGTCAAGGTTCATCGATTTTCTCCTCTTTCCCTTGTAAGTAAACGGTGTCGTATCGGACCGTGCGGATTTCACCCTCAACAGTTGGCGCCGTCTGTGGGAACGACGATTCCCTTGAATCAATTAATTACTCGGTTGGGTATATACGTTTGCGGTCCGGTATGGTTACCGAAGGAACACCGTCGTAGGGATCTGGTCAAAGGGTAGAGTCGAGTGAAAACCTAGACGTCCTAAACAACCAGACACGGCTTGCAGCGTTGGACCTGCAGGTCCAAACTCTGAGTTAGATAATGGACCAGTTGATCCAGCAAAATGCAACGCTCCTGCAACATCTTATTCGATCTATTCAACATAACTTGCCATAACAAGATCTCTCAAATCCAAACGGAGGGAATGAGAATATTGCAAAGCAGGATAATTATCCCTCCTAAAATGAGACCGAAGTGGAACAAAGCCAGGTGGGAAACCGACATAGAGAGGTGGTACACCCATCTCTCCCACGGAATTCCCGACCTCAGGAAGGTACAGCTTTCTGTCTTAAGGAAAAGACAAAGAAAGTTACTAATTTCGACCTGCAGGTCGAGGATCTCAAGGGGAAAATAGAGGGTGTAATGCAGGCTATGAAAGGGAAAGGTCCTGCAGCCGTAAATGACCTGGTACAAAGGACCCAGTTGCCATTCAGCCTTGCCGTTATGAAATGTCCACTGCCTAGCAAGTTCAGGATGCCCTCATTCGAAAGCTTCGATGGGACCAAAGATCCCCTCGATCACCTAGAAATATTTCAAGCTCTTATGCATTTATACGCCGTACCAGACGAAATTATGTGCCGAGCTTTTCCCACTACACTTAAGGGATCAACAAGAGTTTGGTTCAACAAGCTGAAGCTAGGAAGCATCAACAACTTCGAAGAATTGAGTAAGCAATTTGTGAGCCACTTCATTGCAGGTCAAAGGCAAAGGAGGCCAGCCACCTACCTGCTTACTATGAAGCAACAGGAGGGCGAGTCGATTCGGGAATACATCACCTGATTCAACACAGAAATGTTGCAGGCAGAAGAGGTGGACGACAAGGTGGCCTTGACCGATTTCATAAGAGGACTCCAAACCTCCAGATTCTTGTTTGCCCTATCCAAAGAACCTCTCACCAGCATGGCAGAGTTGTTGATCAGAGCGCAGAAATACATGAACGTTGAAGACGCTATGAATGCACGGAAGGGAAAGAAAGGAGAGGACAAGAAGAGGTCAGCCCCTCTCACCAGGGATAAGAAGGATACCAGTTATAAAAGATCATTCTTCAGCCAAAGCGATAGGACATATAGTGAGGAGGACTCAGATAAGTATACCGATTAACAATTGCCTCACAGCTAGAATTAGCCTTATCAAATCATTCAAAATAAAGACTGGGGGCATCTCAGTTCATCATTTCACATGTTATTTTATTTTATTTTCCAATAAAGTCACCATCACCAATGAGGTGGATGACCCTCAATTTTTACGCAATAAAATATTATATTTTCAGTTCCCTACTACCTATATGGTAATATTAAGCCCATAATAATCTATTTATCTCCTTAAAGGGCCAACTACACATTCTTCCCTTATTAAAAGGACAAGAAGCCGACTACTCCTTATATACAGAAGGGTGAGATAATTAAAGTTTCGTTCATTTACTAGAGGAACGAGACGACTACTTCCCATATTACAATGAATAGTAAATAAAGTCCTGTATTAAAAGGATCCGGGCTGAATGAATCCCGTAATCCATATCCCCATACTATAAGGGATAGTAAATGAATGTCCTGTATTACCAGGATCCGGGCTGAATAAATCCCGTAATCAATATCCCCGTACTATAAGGGATAGTAAATAAAGTTCTGTATTAAAAGGATCCGGACTGAATGAATCCCGTAATCTATATCCCCGTACTATAAGGGATAGTAAATGAGTGTCCTGTATTACCAGGACCCGGGCTGAATGAATCTCGTAATCTATATCCCTGTACTACAAGGGATAATAAATAAAAATCCTTTATTAAAGGGACGAGTAAAACTCGTAAAGTTTAATTCCCTTATTAAAGGAGTAACGACCTGAGTGAAGCTCGTACAATTCAGGAGAAGATTACTCAGGAGTATTAAAAATAGTACCCCGGGGCAGAGTACCCAAGGGTACCAAAAATAGTACCTAGGGGTACCAAAAATAGTACCCAGTGGCAGAGTACCCAAGAGTACCAAAAATAGTACCCAGTGGCAGAGTACCCAAGGGTACCAAAAATAGTACCCAGGGGCAGAATACCCAAGGGAAGGGTACCCGTGGCATTGTTCCCGAGAATAGTGCTGGGGGCAAAAAAAAAAAAAAAACTGTACTGTTCATGTGAATAGTACACGCGGGAATAGTACCCACGGGTATTGTTCCAGGGGCGAGAGAGAGAGAGAGAGAGAGAGAGAAAAAAGGGGTACTGTTCATGTGAATACTACCCGCGGGTACTGTTCCAAGGCAAGAGAGAGAGAAAAATAAATAAATAAATAAATAATTCTGTA